TTTGGTTTGGCGGGGTAAAGCGGTAATCGCAAAGAGAAAGTCCTTCTTTTTCTGTGGACTAAAAAGACAATTTGAACTGAACTTTCATCGATCATATTGCATATTTTGTTTGTTTCGGACTTTTTGTTCATTGTGAATTCATAAAGGGGTTAATTAAAGGGATATTTTTGTTAGGGTAGCAGCATACGGATCAACAACGGACGCGTTTCAGCACAGAGCCTTTATCAGCGCTTTGTTTGTCATCTATTTTCTTTTTGCACTCCTGCACCTGAAGTTTTATTTCTGTTTGAGTGTGCTCCTTTTTTTCTGTTTTGAATCAGGCCTATCCTAGAACCCACAATGCAACAAGAAACATTTACAAAAATGTGGACTACAAAACGATTATCGATTACATTTGTTTTTGTAACCGATTATTATTTGATGATTGTTTGCACCCCTAATGTAAAATAGTATATTTTATCCATTATTGTAAAAATAGAAACAAAAAAGTCAAATAAAACCTTATCATGAAGTGAAAAAGAACTGAACTTAATGTGTAAACATACTTCAAACTTTTGACCATGACAGCAACAATGTATGTGTCTGCTGCTCTTTACACATAAAGATGTACACACCTGCATGTCTTTTATGAAGTTTTGTGTGTCCACTCAGTGCTCAAGTCGATACATGGAACTTACTTGTATTCTGCTTCTAACAATACATTTCTATATCAAATAATGTTATGTTTTTTAGGCTGTTGTCTTCTTCAGTGTTGTACTCTTGTATAACAAGTGTTTGAATAGGTCTATCAGTGTGTGTGTGTGTGTGTGCTCGGCTGTGCGCTACGTTATATGCCACAACCAGCTCCAGGGACAGTCGTGGCCCCCCAGTCTCTGGCACCTTTTTATTTGGGGACCACGAGCTGAAAAGATTGGGAACCCCTGATCTAGATACACAGTTTCACACTCTGTCATTCCATCATTTATTGAAAGAAAAGCAGAAAGAGACATGAGCTGATTCAACAGGAACATAACCAGGCCAGTCAGTCCTGGTTCGTCAGAGATGTAACTTATCACTCGTGTTTATCCGCCTATTAAAACGTGTTTGCCTCTCTAGTGGACAAATGGATCAAACTGAATAAGATGGACTTTCTGGGGATTCCTTCCTGTGTTGGTTTTGGTCCTCATGCAGAATCCTACAGGTGTGGAAACAAAACAATCTGTGATTTTTTTTTTACACAAGATACAAAATAATCTTTTACTTAAGCTCTTCTTCTTTTTTTTTTAAACAGATTTCTAGTTTTCCCCAACATGGGCCAGTGTCTCCAGTCTGTCATGATGGAGAAAGGCGAGCTTCTGTCAGAGAAAGCTGTTCTTCAACTCGCCTGTAGAATAGTGAGTGTAACTTGTAGGACAGTCCCAAACCAAAACTATCTACTACCCCCCCCCCCCCCTTCACTCAAAAGATAACATGTCTCCCTCCTTGCAGTTAGACGTGCTGCAGTACATCCATTCAAACGAGTACGTTCATGGTGATATCAATGCAGAAAATATTTACATCAAACCAGAACAGAAATCTCCGGTGAGAAATAAACATCTTTAACCTTTCCATGATTTAAGTTTGTTTACCGCTCAGCACTCTTAACTCTTTACGTGTTAGGTATACCTGGTCGGATACTGCCATGCCTTCAGGTACTGTCCAGGAGGGAAGCATGTAGAGTATCGTGAGGCCAGCAGAACACCACACGAGGGCACCACTGAGTTTATCAGCCTCGACGCACATAAGGGAGCAGGTGAGTTACTGCTTTCTTCTTCCACTTCGTCAGTGAATCAGATTACATTTTTCTCTACAAGCTGCTGAAAAGCCAAACATGAGGGAGACACCTGCAGTCCTCCCACGGCCCATATGTCTGCAGAAAAACACACACACACACACACACACACACACACACACACACACACAAATTTAAAAATCTCTCTCTCTCTGAAGAAGCAGATTGTTGTGTAAAACGCTTCTTTTAAAAAAAATGTCATGTATACATCTTAAGATTAGCTTTATGGTGTTTATTTATCAATGCAAGGTTTGGAGAGTAAACACATGACTTGGTCACTTTGTTGTTTGTCTGCTTCAGCTCCGTCACGTCGCAGTGACCTGCAGTCTCTGGGTTACTGCATGCTGCGCTGGCACACGGGCACGCTGCCTTGGATGGCACTCACTAATCCAGACCAGGTCGCCACACAGAAGCAGAAGTGAGACATTTCAACTTCACACACCTTTGAAACTGCTGCATGCCTGACTAACATATAACATGAAGTAGTTAAATTGGTCGTACATTGTATAGAAAATGCTGATGGCTTGAAAATGTTCTTGTCAAGGTACATGGAGGATGTTTCTGCACTGTTGAGTCACTGCCTAGGGAAAAAAAGAGTTTCCAGTGAGTTGCTTATTTCTTACAACACATAAAAAGTGCCAAGTCTTTTGCCCTTCATAAATATATTTGTGTGTCTGTGTGTGTTTGCGTTGTAGCGGCATTTCAAACCTTCCTGACTGCAGTGATGGCTCTGCAGTACTCTGAGCAGCCTGATTATTCAGTGCTGAAATCCACACTGAAAGACGCTTTACTGGGTCTGGGCGGGTCGCTGGAGCAGCCACTCAGCTTTTAGGTGAGGTGATGCACGAGGGTACGTCTGATCAGCAGCATATTCTGATTTTGTACCAGAGAGTCGACACACAAAAGAAAGAAAAGAAAACTAACCTCTGTGAAGTTTTTTTTTTTTTTTCCTGATCACATCAAAACAAGAGATTCAGAACCACAGTGATTGCATGTAAAGTTTTTGTGCAATGACACATGATTTTACTGTTTTGAGCTTATGATATTTAGTATTTTTAAATACTAAATAATAATAATAAGGTAAAAAGACCATATCACAAGATATCGCACCTGTACATTTATAATCTCTGGAGGCTCTATGTTAATAATGTCTTCAAGGAAACGTATTTTAGCTGAATGAAGAAACACATTGGCCAGTCTACAGTTCACTGATGATGGCCCTTGCATTTGCAGAATTTTTTGAGTAACAAACTGGTTGTCGTTTCCATATATTTGGAAAAATCAAAGGTGCGTGTGTCAGCAGTGGTGCTTCTGACAGAAAGGGTGAAACCCGTGTAATGTTTTTAAAGTCTCAGCTGAGTTGACGGTAAACTCTATGGCCTAACAAACAAGGAGAAGATGTATAGCAACAGATGATTAAACTTTTTTTAAGTGAAAATACATTTGAAGCTCAGATTAAAACCAACATGCAAAGCTGTCTGGATTATTTCCACATATTGATGTCTGTGCTGTTAGTTTAAACATGGCTAAGATGTTTGAGATTTCTACTTAAAATTGCTGAAGCTCCACTTTTACACTAAATGCTGATTACAGGGAATGAAAAGACTGGATTTAAAAAGGCTGTAACTTGTGCATGACTACTTTAGTTTAAAATATGGGGAACCTGAATGACATATACACAAAATGAGTATTTATAAACTTATAATAGTAGTATGAGAAAATAACCAACTGTTTATTATGATGCTGAAATTGAGGATATTAATGTATTTCCACTTTACTTTCACAGAAACGTACCAAAAGGAAGACCTTTGGAGAATGGAGTGTGTGTGTGTGTGTGTGTGTGTGTTTTTTTCAGATTGTTCGAATCATTACATCTCATTTCAAACTGTTGTCTCACTGACAGCAGAGTGTTGTAAAGTGAAACCTGCAAACATCAGGTTGATGAGTTATTTTTAGGATCATTATTTTAAGAGGTTATGGTGTTGTTGTTTCTCACAGATTGCACTGTAAGATTTTAGCATTTCATGGTCTATTGTGATGGGTGAAGTTTGAATGTTTCCAGTTACATGTTTAGGTGATATTTACACTTTGTTAGATAAACGTGTCACAGTCTTCTGCTAATTTAAGGTTTTAGGTATATGAACTGTTGCTTGTTCCAGCTATATTCTGTTTGATAATGTTTTTAATAAAATCATTTTAATGAAGTGTGTTTTCATCATGTGAAGGAAGAACAGATTTACAACTCTAATGAAACGCATGTTATCCCCACATTTGTGAAGCAAAACGTAATTTGCTGAACATTTCCATGAAACAAGCCGACACAGAGATGTGGATTAACTCATCAGCTTTGTATTTTTATTTAAAACAGTGTCTTATAGTGTTTGACATTAAGTTGTGTATTCTGTAACGGACACCAGACTACATCATCACTAAGGAGTGTGTTTAAAAATGAATAGATCTTTATGAAAGGTTGGTTTTGTGTTGTGATGTTTGTGCCAAACCACTACACACACACACACACACACACACACGGTTTTACTGTTAGGTTGGCAATTACCGTGGGTCTTGTGCTCCAAGGGGACCTTAAGGCATAGGTGCTATAGGCGTGCATCAAATATGAGGTGTACATGTGTTTGAAATGTAAATAAGGTGACCAGAGTGCAATCATAATGTAGTTTCCTTATCCCAAAAATTCCCAAAGGTGTGTGATATTCAAACCCCTCAAAAAGCCCCACAATGTCTTCATATCCATGCAAATGATAGTAACTTAGATCTCTATACCAATATTGAAATAATGCATTTGTGGAAAACTGCATGCAAAATGGAATGGTGTAAATAAAAGTGAAAGATTTGTGGCAGAACAGATATGACACCTAAAGAGAACATCATTAAAATGTTGATGTTTAGAAGTTACACCTGGCTTACAGACATTTTTTAACTTTTTAAATGTGGTGACTATGAGTTGTTGAAGAGTAAGTACTGTTGGGTATATGTGTGTGTGTATATTTGTTAATAATTCACATTTGGTGATGTCCTGTATGTCTTTGTTAACTGAAAAGAGATGCTTCAAAATGTCTTTATGATATGATTGCTTTCACTAAATAGGCAGGGCCTCATATTGAACTACACCTGGGGTCTATAAATTACTTTCACCGCCCCCATTACTTCATTCAACACAACAGCAGACATATTTGTTTTAAAGAAACCTTTATAAAGTTTAAACATTTCTGAACATAAACATTTGAACATTTCAAGACATATACAATTCTTTATATGAAACAGTAAATATCTCTTATTGTGCACACTCTCAAAGTAATTCAGAAAATAAACACTGTTTTCTTCTGCCTTATCTCTCCTGTCGTGGCATTTTAAACCTTTCATCTCTGAGGCACTTTCTGAATGAGGGAGGCTTTTGTAGAACAACGGAAAGCATGATACTGAAAAGACTATAGCGCCCCCGTGAGGCGGCTTTTGTACACAGCTACAGACCCGACGGCTTCCTCACACAGGAGCTGAGCTTACACACTTCAACTGAACGTTTGAGCTTTTATACAGACATGCTGGCAGTGTGAGGCAGCTACACATGCACGTTTAAATATAGGTTTACACTGATTGTTAAAACAAGACCAAAATGAGTATGACTTCTTTCCTTCATGTGTTTTAGTCCTTCCTAGTACAACTTATGTTCCTGGTGTTGCTTTGAAGGTTGAATTCTGCACTTGGTGTGTGTTTCTGAATATTCTCAGTATCTGTCTCTGAAAAGATCCTCTTGAGCATTCCTGTTTTGGAAATGACTTCATGTCCACAGCACGTCGATAAAAATCTTCAGACAACATCACGCTCACGAGCTCTTTCCCTCTCCCACTACATGGAAAGAGCTCTGGGCTGAACACTTATTTAACACTGAAAAATGATAACCTCCATGTTTTGTTTTTTTTTACATCCACAAATACTGATATTTTTTTGACCATTGCAGTGTAGCTCAGTGATTGTATGCTTTTCCGCAGATCAAAGAAGTCCATCTACTTGAGCGTCTTTAACGGTTACAAACTATTGGATTAAGTCATAAATGCACTGTAATAAAAACAAAATCAAGGCCGCTTTTAGCTGTTCCTGAAATGTTTTGGACATTGAATGTTCACACAACAGAAACACTTTTTGAAAGTGTAAACAAAGTGGTGTCCCACTTAAACCCAGGCAACGTGATGGAGGGAAAGAAAGAGGACTTATTATATTTAGTGGGTTGGGGACTTTGAGTCATGGCTGAGGTGCAGAAACCTCGAGGTTTATCATTCTCGGTCAGAACAAGGCAAATATGTGCACAAACTCTGCCCTGACGGGAGAGCCTGTTTGTCTGAGCAGTAAGTGGATCATCCTCAAGGCCTCCAGCCCCGCAGAGAGAGAGAGGAGACGGGGATCAGTGGGGGAGGAATGGTTTAGAATTAGGTCCCACTGTGTCATTAAAAGACAGTAGTGGCCAAATGTCCCGGGGTAGTGGAACGCTCCTCCTGATCATGTGACCGCTCCTCTTCTGAAAGATTAAAAACAGGGAAATTAAAAACTTCTGTGGTCAAAAGAACAACTGCAGACTTTGTCTTCAGCGCTCACCCTTCTCTTCATCTCCCTTTTCCTCGCTGTGATCCTCCAAGTCCTCGGATCTATTTATCCGCCGCAACCAGTCCTGCACATCCTCCACGCTTGACTCCTTTTTAAACATGTTTTTTTTTTTTCTTTTTAAGTTCATTTGAAAACAAAAAAAAAAAAAAACCTCAAAGACTACAATTCAGCAGATCAACTGGTTACCTGTGAGTCAGAGAAACAATCTTCATCTGAGTTTCTAAATCCTTCTGGGGCTTCCATCAGGATCTCCAGTTCCCCTCCTTCCTCATCATCGCTGCAGAAGAGACAAAGAGGATGATCACAGTGGTTAAATACGCTCCAATAAAACCACTGAACTCATCACTGTACCAAGAGGAATGTCTACACTGAGGGAAATACTCAAACCTGTGACTCCATGTTTGAAAGGAAAAATCTGGATGTTTTTTTTTCATTTCCCTACAGTACACGCTTACACATTTTGTTTGGAAATGTTGGCTTTGCCACCCGGGCTGACCGGACATCTATGTGGTCATATATAGCACACTGTTGTTGAGTCAGCTCTTAAAACAAATACAAATTATGTTTAAAAAAAAAAAAGTGTAGACGAATCATGGCATATTCTAAACTGAAAAAAAATAGCTAGTGGAGGCTCAATCAGAGTGTTACTACAGTGTGCTACAAGTGGAGTAGTATGTATCACATGAGGTCTTCTTTTTAAAAACCTTGTGTTAATGCAGCTTCAAACGAAGCAGGAAATTATGCTCATGAAGTTTATTGTGAAACATCCAAACAGACATTTGTTAATATGAATTACTTCAAATGATCAAAGTGCATGCAGGGCGATCTATTAGGAGTTCAACAATGACACACCCAAAAAAGAAAAAAAAAACAATGGTCATACTCAACACTGACCTTCTTCCGGAGTAAAATTCCTTTTGTTCCTCCACCAACTCGTCCACCGCAATCTTGTTTTGGCTGATTTCATCTTCCTTCTTTTCCTCTTCCTTCAACGTCTCTTCACTGTTGTTTGGGGTCTGTGCATGTTGCCCATCATCATCATCATGCTCCTCTTTCATTTCTTCCTCCACTGCCTTGTGCTCCATTTCTTTTTGGTTCTCTTCAACTCGCCCGTGCTCCTCCTTTTCTTCTTCTTCTACTGTTTCTTTCTCCATGTTCTGTTGGTCCCCTTCATCTTGCCCCTTTTCATCCTCTTTTTCTTCATCCTCCACTCTATCGTTCTTTAGCTTGTTTTGGCTCTCCTCCTCCTGCGACTCACCTTCCGCCTCCTCCTTTTCCACTTCTTCCATTGTCTCTTTTTCCATTTTCTGTTGTTCCTCCTCATTTGTCCCATCCTCCTCCTCCTCCTCCTCCTCCTCGTTTTCTTTTTCCCCTACTGTTTCTTCATCCATTTTGTGCTGCTCCTCTTTCTCTTGCTCGTCATCATCCTCCTCTTCCTCCTTGTTTTCTTCCTCTACTGACTTGTTCTCCAATTTCGGTTGTTCCTCTTTATCTTGCCCATCATCCTCTTCCTTTTCTTCTCTGTCCTCCTGTTTTTGCTCCTCGTCCTCGTCCTCTTCATCGAGATCAGAGCAGTTGAGAAAGTCAAAACTTTCAAGGGCTGTCTCGAGCTCCTGAGTGAAACTAGATGAAGTAGGAAAAGGCACCTGCAGGGAGAACAAATGCAGGTTTTTAAATTGTTCTTGTTTCACATTGTAAGAAATCAGAATAAATGGATAACACAGCTCACCGTTGAAGCATCCTCTGGTTGTTCTGACTTCTGGATGGATGGATGTGGCTCACTGTGTTTCTCTGATGTTTCTACCTGGTGGTGTTCCTCTCCTGCTGCTTCAGTGGTGTCGTCCTCTGCTTCAGTTTGTCGAGCGCGCTCTGATGACTGCTCGGGTGCCTCATCCTTTACCTCCTCCGCTGAAACACACACCTGAGGGACGCCACTTTCAGACACATTTGTTGTCTCCACCAGTGACACAGGAGCTACAGAGGAAACATCGGGGCATGAGCAGCTGAGGTCTGCTGAGGTTTCAGAGACATCAGCTGATTGGACAGACGCTCTGTCAGTCACACTACAGTCTGCACTCCTCTGCTCTGCGTGAGTCTGCAGGTGGCCGTTTGGCACGGCGTCTGTCTGAGAGAAAACCTCCCCTCTCTCTGTCTCATCCTCCTCTTGGTTGGAGGAGAGCGACGGCGTCGATGCGCTGGACCTGTGCGGCGTTAATGACAGCTGAGAGGTGAGAGTGGTGGGCAGCATGTTGGAGGCTGTGAGTCTCTGAGCATGGTGAGCCAGGGCAGGACTGGACGAGTCATCGGAGGATTCAGAGGAGTTGGACCAGACCGTCCCGTTCTCCATTTCGCCTTGTCGCTTCAGAAGAGACTGAGACACAGAGAGAACACAGGTTAGACATATTTGTGACTACTTTGTTGGCTAACAACAGGATGATATTTCAGACTATGTGTCATTGTTGTTCATATAAATTTGATAAGTATTACTGATATTGTATTTGATCCAGTGGTTCTCAAACTGGGTTTTAGAGACATGAAAGGGAGGCAACAGAGGACTAAAAAATATGAAACAGAACTAAAGTCAAATGAAACTGTTTCAATAACATGTTGAGAACTTTACATTTCCAGCTTAGTGAGATTTATTCCAAGAAAATAAAAGTTCAGCAGACAAATTTATGATAAGAAAGAAAGAATTTAAAATGATCTCCTTTAAACCTGAAAACTTGTTACAGTATCGCAGTAATGCTGTGTTACAGCTCACATTGATTATGCTTGTTCTGATGCTCATTTTAGGAACAGTTTGAATGGTTGATAAAAAAAGAGAAAAATCTTTGAGAACCACTGGATTCACAACTACCGTCATGTTCTATTAACATGTAACTTCATTGCATTCATTGAAAATCACTAAAGTTGTTTGAAGTCATCTAACAACACCAGACATTTAATGATTGGAGCTTTACACTCAGATTAAGGTGTTTGTTGAATCACCATGGAAACTGATTAACGTTCAGCTTTTGAACCAGCAATATTTTGTAGGCAGATGTAACGCATCATTTTGGGTTCTGCTTGACTTTTGATTAGTTGTTCAGGCTAATAAAATGCTAATTAAAGTACCAGCTCTTTCTTAATTTGATATAAACACAATAGAATCATCACTATAAGTGAAATGGATCACAGAATCTGGATCCACTGACAACAGCAGATGGAATAAACATACAGAGAGAGCTATCTTCCCCAGGAAAAAGTTTTTGAACTTTGTTATTTCAAAATAAACAATAAAAATGGATTAGAACAAAAGTTAATCCATATTACATCTTTTACTGCTTTTGTTGTTGTTTTGGATTCTTGTTTTTACTCTGCAGTACTTTTGAGATTTAAAAAAAATATTTACATCATAAACTTATTATTTTTTCTAATCCTGGATCTGAATAGAAGTTTACTCAAATACTGATTCAAATGAACAACACATTTGTCGACTTACTTCCACATGTTGATTGATTTTTGTTAATGAATTTTGTTTTACTCTACTTTTTGATTTCATGCTAAACTACAGCTACAACTACGTCCCAACACACCGACTGAAAAGAGGTGAATCGGGGTGTCGTGCGGCTGATTTCAAAACGTGAGGATGCCATCCTTTCCGTCATGACGTTGAGGAAATGCTCCATCAGCGGGCGGCTGTGTCTGGGCCAGACACGAGGCATGCTCTTCACACGAGGTGAGGAAGAGGAGGGATATATTGGAGTTCTACTCAACCACTATTAAACAGCTACAAGGACCACAGCTCCGTTCATACATGCTGCTGTCACACGTCCCGCTACCGCTGTCATTCAATCTCTGCACGCCACTCCCACAACCACACGACCTCACACACACTGCTCTGTGAACATCCTCACACACATCAGTGCTATTGCTACACATCAAACAGTTGGGGAGCAGCTGAAATAGAACAAGCCAGTAAAATGACAGTAATAATAGCCATGAGTAAGAATAATGGCAAACAGAGAATGTGTACGTGTAGTAAAGAGAGAGTTTACAGACCTTTGACACAAAAGATAAACATGTGGTGTAACATGAGAGCTGTGATGGAGATGTGATTTATCTTTGAATGTGACTCACATAAAACACCTGCTCTCGCATAGAGGGCGTGTCAGGAGGGCTCTGATTGGACAGCAGCCGCTTGGAAACCGTACTGCTAGACGATGTCTGGTCATCCTTATCAAACGGACTGAAAACAAATAGGCCGAGGGAATGAGAAACAGAGCAAAATGACATGTGTGAAAAAATGAGTAAAATAACAAGGAGCTGCAGCCTGCATGTTCATATACCTCCAGGTGACCTCCAAGTTCAGCTTGACTGTCCCAAGGTCGTTTATATCCACAGCGAGCGTCTGAGGAAGTGGGCAGAACAGGTCGAGCATTTCGCAGGACACACTGCCCACCACCACGTGATTGGCCAGGCTCTTCAGCTCCGTCACCTTGACAACCAAAGCAAGTAAACGTCACAGACATGAGATCGTGGGAATATAACACAAAAGGGAATGTAAACTTAAGAGAACATTGTTGTGAGAATACATGTAGTTGTTTCAGGGATACGACTGTCAAATACTGTAGATATATATTTCTTATGGCAAAAACAAAACATCTTTATGGCTCTTAACACAGAACATGTCAGGGTTAAGGAATCAATAAAGGATGATCTAATGTTATTATATCTTATGAAAAGAGAAAAAAACTCAAATGTAAGGTTGTCTGTGTAGCCAAAGCCTGATAAAGGTGATTCATAAGTATTTTAGAACTTCCTTTTTTAAAAAAAAAAGGGTAATAAAAACACATTTATAAGGAGATATACCCAGTGGGAAAATCAGGGATACCAATGTTTAAAATAACAATTTAACGTTGATGTTTTGAGTCTGTTTTGCGAATGAGCTCTGTGATTGGATGCCGCTTTGCTGGTCGATTAAGGGGAAGAGACATGTTTCTGTAGTTTAATTTGAGTCAGTCGACTTCCTGTAAACATTCACTAATGCAACAAATATGTATTAAACCTCAGCTGAATATAGTCTGGAACAAATAAACCATTTCCGGCGGTTTGAGCTACATTTGCTCTAAATTCGTCCAGTTTTGGAAAATGATTTAGCCTTGTGACCTGTTTTTAAGGATTACCACCTTGAGTCAGAGCCAGTGGGTTTTAAGTCCAGGTGGCAAAGAAAGAAAGAGAAAGTTCCACATGTTTTTCCTGCTGTATTTATTGGAGTTGTTTACAATAACAAACATGTAAAAAAAATAGCAGAAATACAAAAATTCCTTCTTAAAATGGTTTCATTACCTTGATTGACAGCAGTTCTGTGACGAGAGGCAAGAAGATGTACTCTTCACTGTCCCATATCTGCTTATTGCTGACTTCAACGCGGCCTCTTAGCCTCCAGCGTTGTCTCCCGTAACGCATTAAGACCTAATGGGGCCAAAAATAGATGATGTGAGGCAGCAAACACAGAGACTCTCTCAATATCTGTCTTCAAGCTATGTCATCATTTCTCTCACCTCATACTGGTCACCAGCACACAGCCGTGCAAAGCCTGCGAGGCCTGAAACATCCACAAAAGACGAGTGAAATGAGAACTGGACAAACACAGTGAAGTCAAGAGGAAGTCACAAGATAGTAGAAAGTGACGTACCCTTCATCTTGACATGAAATTCTCCCATCTGGCTTTCGATTTCACTCTCAAGTGAGCACATGTGCTGCAGTAACACATAGTTGGAAGGGTTTAGATGATATCATAGTGATTATTTATATGTTTATAAAGTAGACAGTCTGATATCAAAAACAAAGTTTAACACAGATCAGTCATACAAACACATGAAGCTCAGGTCAGTTACTTGCCTCTGTACATTCCCTGTAGCCCTTGTTAGCTTCACTAAGGCTCTCTCTGGCCTCCTTGCTGCCGCTGGCTGAATTAAAGGCCGCCACCATCTTACTTGCTCCATCACGCAGTCGCCGCTGTATACAGTAAGCATCATACAGCTCTTCAACCTGGAAAGGGACATGACAGTATTATACAGAGTTGTTCAATACAATGGACCATCACCCGATGAGAGGAAGAGATTAAATATTGTATGAATGAACGTCTGGCCTCATATGAAACATCCCTTATTGGATTATTCAGACACCTTAAAGAAAACATTTCTGAATGCCAGCACACTGAACCAAAGTCAAACAAATACAAAAATGATACAAAGATAAAGTATTCAATTCAACATTAAAAAAACAGGTGTAACACAATAATTACCTGATACCAAAAAAAGAGACAAAAGAGGGGCAAGAGTGAGAGACAGGCAGACAGAGAGAGAGAGAGAGAGAGAGAGAGAGAGAGAGAGAGAGAGAGAGAGAGAGAGAGAGACTGCATGCTTTCAAATATGTACATCACTTCTTATGTTATGCTGTGTAAAAATCCACTCTGAGAGGCGACTATTACGCATAAGTTGTGTTGTGTTTCCTCCTGTTCCAGGCTTTATAAAGACATTTATTGTTAATATATTTCTCTCAGTGTTTTTGTTTTGCTTTCTCTCTCAGCGTGTGTACATTTCACCTCTGGGGTATAAACATCATGCTTCACATCATTTTGAGCTAGCTATTAGCTACCCTCAAAATTAACTGATGCCAATTTTAGAGTCAAAGATTCAGGAGACACATGTTGCAGACAGAAGAATTGTGTAAAACATAAAGTAAAGAACAGTAAACTGTAAGTTATAGCTTATATGCATTATAATATTTAATTATTCATAGCACTATATATCGTTATTGTAATATTGAACTATGTAATCGCACATTGCATTTCTTTCTAATATCTACATATACATCAGGCAGCAAGCCACTTCAGCATTTGGTTGAAGTTGTGTTTTTGTTCTTATAAATGTGTGTCATATATTATATTTCCTCTCCTTTTTGGCTCGGTTTTGTTCTCCACTGACTCCTGAAGTAAATATCTGCCACTGTTGTCTCTAAACACTGAGATAATCCTCCTTTAGTCTGATGCAGAGCAGACAGGTTAGGGGGAGTTTTTTCACAGCTCTTTACTCTATCAACATAAACAGCCGTCTAATGCATCTGAAACACATTTTGTGAAAGTTGTGAGAAGGAATAAAAACTGTAAAGTAGTGACCAGCACAAACCAAAACAATTATTAGTTAAAGAAAACATTGGAAGTCAGACTCTCTGAGATGTTCCGCCATGAAAAATAACAACTTTCATGTCACACATTGTCCTTTCAGTCATTAGTTAATTTTTTTTTTTTTCAATAATTCCATCTTTAAATAATGAATGTATTTACTTATCCTTTATTAAATGGATTCTTCATCATGATACACACCTTACTGAGGTGGAATTCCAAGCGTCGCATAAACCTCTCTATGGCCTTTACTTGCTGCGAAATGAAAACAAACCGATTGTTAAACATGACAGACTAACAGGAAAATGTTATCTTGACATAAGGTTTCAATGCTGTGAATGAAACTAACCTTATCCTGCTCGTACAAAGAACCCTGCAAAGAAAACAACAAGAAAACATTCAGCACATCAAAGAGTCTCATTAACATCTAGTCCAAAGACGGGAAATGACAACATGCAGGCCAGTACAGACTGACAGATGATACTGGTGTGACTGGTTTCTATCAAAATGAGCTCTCACCAGTCGCCCATTCCTCTTGTTTTCTCTGATCTGCTGACCCAGACTCTCCAGCTCCAGCTGGTGGACCTGCAGGTACGACCTGACAGCAAGAAACAGTCCATTACTTTTACGGCTCTTCTTCATTTTGAGTCTTTTCCTGCGTCACAGATGATATTTCACCATAATGAATGCAAACAGTGCCTGAGATGTGTTTACTCACTGTAAGCCTCTGCGTAAGGCAGCGTACACTTCATCTAGCCGCTCGGGCTGGGGGTTTTTCGTGGGTGGCAGTTTTGTAGAGCCTGTGAACATCCTGCTTCCTTACAAGGCACGTTTTTTTCTTGGATCAAACAGGACTGAGGGAGGTAGAAGCAGAGAGATACAGAGCATGGGATCATTTCTGATAAGGCCTCTGTGATTTGTTCTGTTACATTCAAAAGGGACATCAATGAAGCCAAAAATATAGAGCTCTGCTCACCTGCTAAGAAGAGGGAAGAACTGTAGCATGCTTGGAGCGTTAAGTGTTGCGTTGTGTCTTTAACAAACAGAAGGACATGTCCTGTAATTGTACAAAAATGGGATGTTAGAGAAAAAAAATTCCAACGCTCGCCTCTTACGTCGACTCTACCTGACAGGATTTCTGCTTCTGCTCTGTGATTATCAAAGATTTTTTTTATAACAACTGAGGTCACAAGAGGATAAACTGTGGGGAAACAGAGGATAGAAACCGCTCTTTCACTTCCTTGGTCTGGCTACTCTGTTTTGTTTAAAGCCTGTTAGCGACAGTGACATGCAATGCAGCAGCCACAGAGACTGACAAAAGCACTGAGTGCAGTCTGCCTTTGCTTCTCTTCCTTTTCCTTCCCCACTTCTCCAACCCCCTCCACATCCAACACCCGAGTACAGGAAGTCTCGTGGCTGACTCTACACAGGAAATTCAACATCCAAGTTTGGCCCAAGAATATAAAACCTCTCTTCCACCGTGTGCAACGGTGTAAATTCTGACTCTTTCGACAGCGAGTTTAAGGAACGTGAAGATTATGCCATAGTACAGGGAAACTGGAGGAAGAGAGGGTCGTGCCCCGGCTAATCTAGCCACAAAAGAGATTACAGACTTAACCCACACTAAATCTGTCAAGCAGGAGCCAAACCCATATTAACACATGGGATCTGTGAATGAGCCAGCACGAAGCAGAGCAACTGGTGACATCTGCTCTCCATTGTCTTTCACAAAAATCCAAACCAGGAGAGAAATCCGTCTGATTGGATCACTTTTTGCTGGGACAGGAAACAGAGATTACATTTTTATATTGTCGTTAACTTATGATACTTCTGATATCAAAATATACACCCTGTTTTTCCAATACAATCTTGCCACACAGAGTGGATTTGAGAGTGTGTGTGTGTGTTGGGGGGGGGGGGGGGGGTAACCAGGTCGGGGGGTCCAGTTAAACCACTAATCTTGGAGGATTAACTGGAGTTCGTCAGGGTTTGGAAAAAAAGAAGGTGCAACACCATCAAGCTGTTACAGATAAAACACCCCACAACTTTTGCCATTCAAGGGCCATGAGCAGGCCTCGGACCTGCACCCTGAGGTGGTCACAGCTACTACCCCCCCCCCCCCCCCTCCACACACACACACACACACACACACACACAGTCCTGAGCTCTACCTGAAGCCCAAACAAATGCTCAGCAGACTCCAGAATAGTACTGATAGTTATGAGTGAGTGTCACCCAGTCTCCTCCCCGTCAGATGTGCTGTTAGCCCGTTCCTTATACATTAGAGGTCATTAGCAGGATTAATTCTCTCCACTGGAGCAGAGCGAACAAAGAGGACACTGTTTCCAATCACCTCACAAGACTGGAGTTTTGCGTAAAAAAAGAAAAAAGAAAAAGCCTTTCATGCACTGGCAGCATGCATAAGTACTTGTAGCCTTGTTCAGACATTAGCTTGTTTCTACAACAATCTCAGAAGCACTTTGGGCCCTTCCATTAAGACAAATGAAATGGGCTACATCTAACTATCATTCTCACAATCCGCTTGTATACTTTAATAATCGATTTATTGTTTAATCATTACATCGTCTAGAAACTTAAAAAAATAACCATGTTAATATAGTCTAAGGATTGGAAATAGAAATGTTGTGAAACAGCAGCAATTCCTCACTTCTGATGTATTTTAACCTAAAAGATGACCTCATTTATGTATGAACCAAAACAGTGTTCATGTTCTCCTGCTTGACTATCTATTAATACACTGCCAAATAAAACAACAACTGGACATCACAATGTATGAAAGTCAAAACGTGATGCATTATTTTATTTGACCCACTGCCAAACAACAAGGCACAGTGTGTTATAATACACACAGGGAAGTGAAAGTAATGTAAGGGAAGTTTAAGGATGAATCATAATCGATCCGTTTAGCCACTAATCATTTCAAGTACATTCAATGTGTATCACTTGGATTTATAAAGTGTAGATAGACTGCTATAAAGATAACACCCCATTAAACCCCCTGTTCATCCAACACTTTGTGGTGTCCCAGTGTGTGAGCCGGAGGAGGAAGAAGGAGGAGATGGAGGATGAGAGGTAATGGTGTTATAACAAAAAGCAACTACTTCGATTCCAGATTAGTGGATTAGCCTAACCCAGAAGAAGCAGGCCACTGAGTCGGATAAACAGGTTCCTACAACACAGCCAGACTCTTCAAGGCACTTCAAGTTAAAGCAGCAATGATGGAGTCTGAACGACAAACTTAGCAAACGGTGTCGTGCCAGATTTTGTATACCGTCCATATCCGACCCCAGGCAGCCCCCCCCCCCCCAAAAAAAAAGCTCATCACAGGCCACAGAAAGTCTGTCCCGGTCCGTAACAAGGACCACGGCCGCCCACTCCCCTGAAATAATCACCCCCAACAACTTATAAGAAACACGTAAACGCCAGCTGATGAAAATACAAGTCAACCACAGCCAGCTGGCGGATACAATGTCGTCAACATCACGGGAAAGCAACTTCACTTCGGACTGACTCAAGCCCGTGAAAATTTTTCACCAGGCTTCATATTTTGACCTTGGTGGTATAAGAAGCCCCCCCTCTACCCACCCTCTCCTCCCCTACCTCTGTTTAAATGTCCGACAACCCGGAGGATATGTCCAGAGTCTCATTTCCAACGCGATGCTCCACGCAGTTAGCAGAGGTTTACAGTTATTCTGGGCGCTGTCCCTCTCCTGGATTTCGCAGTTTTTTGTCCACAGTCAAGCGAGCAGCGGCTACGTGAACACATCCGGGGAAGATTTTCATAATAAAAGAAAAATCATTATACGAAGCCAAATTTGCACGGGGTTTGCCAAGCTTCAGTTTGTAGTCATTACAGTAATCTATTAATACATTCAAGTTGAAATAGTCCAAATGCCAGATTTTATTTATTTAATGGTACATACAGATGCTGAACTAAAGTGGCCCAGGAAGGCACTTACCCCTGTGGTACACTGCTAATTATTATTTTAAAAAATGTATTAAAATATATAGTTGTTTTTTTTTAAAATGGGTATAGCTACGATTTTTTTATTAATAATAACATCACAATTTTTTCCACATGGTTTATTTTTCCCATCATTTGTACCTCCTATCTATTTGTTGTTCCCGTTCTTTACATTTGTGTCATGTTTTTAAACAAAAATATCTCCTTGCTTTATTTCAACAGTCAAGTCTATCACTCATCGCAAATCTTTGCTGTGGAAAGTATTTAAAAGTCTGTTTCTGCCATTTGAATTTCCCTCGGGATCAATAAAGTATCTATCTATCTATCTATCTATCTATCTATCTATATGATGCTAATCACACCTACCATCCGGCAGCAGTTTTAGACATTAAAGAGAACTATATAAAAGATAAACAGTTTTGTAACTAAAGATGTCTATGTCTTTATAGATCATATAGAAGCATCAGTATGGATTTTAATCTGTTTCATCAACTAAAAACTCCTCACAGGAGCTTATTCCAAGAATGACCATTGTACAACATGTCTAAAAAACAAAACAATAGACTGAGATGAATGAATTTATTGTACGAAGACACTGGATAACTTTCTCTCATAGTCACAAGTAGGTTCTATCATCCATTTTAAAATGTAAATTGATTTGTACTTGGATTGTGTCTATCTATCTGTAGCAATGGCAGAGTTTAAACAGCTGCAAAAATCCACACCTCAAACACCATATGAGAAACAGTCTTAATAAATATGTTATGTATTTATGTGACAATTTGCTGACTTCAACTCGTATTCATTTTCAAGCAACACCTGCCTGCCAGAGCGCACTTAGCACTGCTTAATTTAGTTACGACTGAATATTCTCCTGGGACAGACTAAATGGGCTTGTTGTGTTTTAAGAATCTATGAAAAAGCTCGTTTGTATGATTGATTTCAGCTACTCTCAGATGATGTGTAAAAACACCGCTTGTGCCGTTTCCCTGTCGTCTAAATTTACTTTGAAAAGCCACTTTACAAGCCGGAAACCAAGTTTCGGTTTGTTGCTGTGGCAACAATGATGTCCCTAGTCTGTCACCGTTTTCTCCTCTGCCTCTACGCCACGGTGAATCAAGCGGAAAAAAACAGACAGAAGGCAAGAAGGGAGAAGATGGAAAAAGGAAGTATGGTCTCTTCAAAATCCAGAAGTCCATGGGACGCACAGTGAAACTCGTAGGTTCAACTTCAGCATTTAAATCACGTCGTGTTAGTTGAGTTTATGACAAAGGGGAGCGGCAGTGATGGACCGCATGTGGTGGTTTTCATGTCAGTGTTTTGGTTTCCAGCAGAACACGAGGGACCGGTTACCGTGTCCAGACTATAACATCACAAGTGTAATCATTTAGAATAAGGCTAAGGAGACTAAAGCCGCACTAACCAGCTTCTTGACTTTTTGAATATACAAAGTAAAATAAGCGTTACGACTACCTTAGAAAGTGACCCGCTTCAACTGGGGGTCACATGCGACCCCCATCAACCCTCAGGTCAATTTTTACACATCAATTTATTGGAACCATGAAGAAAACATGAAAAAATCTGCCATGAAAACAAGAAATATGTTCATAATAATATTTGGTCACTGGTATATGTTGAGTTAAATTTGAGACATAATTGACTGTAATCGTTTTTATATCCTACATTTTGGCCCCCTGGCAGTGAGAATTAAATGAATGTGGCCTCTGCTGTGACCGAAGTAGCTTGCAGAGAAGTGAAAGCAATACACAGAAACTGAGGACCCGTTTCAGCAATGTCCATCCCATGTGAACCACATTAAAAGACAGTATTTTGTAGTTTGTACAACTAGTGTTAAAACAATGGTCATCTTTGTATAACTTGCTGAAGATAACTTTTACAGTACAGTCTCCTCTCACATGGTATTAATGACTGACATGCAAAGGAGGCAGGATGGTTTTGCATCATGATGTCATCTGGTGGTGTTAAAGTATCAGTGAACATTAGATTTAAAGACAAAATCAATTTCCATTAGGAGGGGGGGGATGTTAAGTATACTAACATGACCCCAAGACCATGTAACACATGAACTTAAGACACACAATCTTAATATCAAGTCTTCCATTTAATAAAATATATATGCAAGCAAAATACATGAACATTTGTTAGATCTGGTTCTCAACTTTTTTTTAATAAACAATGATTCAAGCAATCGTTTATGTATGCATGTACCACTCAATCCCATTTACTTGTCATCCAAACTAGACTGATTTTTAAACGTTCAAGAGACTACAGCTTCAGAACCTAAAAAGGTCAGTCTATCTTTTACTGCTTGTTCAGTCATACATCTGCCATTTTAGCCACACGGTTGTTAAAATGTCATTCAATCTACATAGAATTGCTCCGACAAAGATACAAAAAGGAAAACTTCACCCAAAGTGGAATGGCTACACAAGGAGCAACAACAGTTCTTTTACTTCTCATGACAATAGTCAGTACATAAGCATCATCTAGGTGTAAGTGGCAGCATGACTATGAAGCTTTTAAAACTAATAAAAATAAAAGTCTAAAAGGGATTTACTAACCACCAAAAAAAGGAAGCAAAATATAAAGATATTCAAAATATTTCTAAAAGAATCCTGAAGGTGGCTGTAATTAATGGCAGTTTAATCGTTCTGAAAGTTGTCTGCATTTTTCTGAAAGCTTACACGTCTGCTAATGTTCAAGTGACTTGGATTAAAATCTCAATTCTTTTCTTTTAATGAATTCTCTTTAAAAAGCCAATATATCCCTGTCTGAGCAGTAAGGAGAGCTCTTCAGTGAGGATGGAAACAAATGGCTTAAAGTTAAGAAAGTTCCAAGACTATCCATTCACACATTTAACCAAAAAGCACACAGGTGTACAACGCAGGAAGAAAGAGCTCGCAAGGTTGAGATGAAAAAACACTTCTGAGATAGGGATGGCATATGCACACAGTTCAGATTTAGGAAAGATTAAGTCCACAATGACAAAAAATATTTAGTGGACTACTTTGCAGAAATCTCACCAATGGAGATGATGTCATGTTGAATGTATTTACCATAAAAACAGAGCTGCGCAAATGACAGCAGTAAAGGGATAAAGATACTGCAGCCACCCCAAACTTCAAAATACTAAAATGCATTTTTGGTAAACAAATTCTTGTTAAAATCTTTAAAAACCATCCAACTCTTTATCAATACATGATTAAAAAGGACATCTTAAATGACAACAGTAAAGTTTTTTTCTGTGCCAGATTGTGGGTCTTAGTCATCCTAAATGCAGATATTAAAACGTGATCAAGGGGCTGTGTGCATTTACAGAGTCGACCATCTAATCATCTCATCATCACCGGTCCATCATGCTGAGGATCATCTCAGGAGTCAGATCTCCGTTAGGTGGAGCCTCAGACGACGGCTCTTCCTGTGCATTCCCCTCTACCTGGGACAGCTCCTCCATTTGAATGGTAGTCTTCCCTTCACCAACAATCACCTGCTCGGTCTCCTGGTCATCTGGTTCAGCGCCGACCTCCTTCTTGACGATAATGTCATCCACCTCTCCTGTGGCCTCGTCCTCCACGCGTATGATAGCAGCCGCTGTAAAGAGTTTCAGGTGAGATTCTGGTAGAAGAGTAATCCTAGCTTTGCACACTATATAATCAATTTAAAGAAAAGCTACACTTCAGAGCACAATTATAGAGCTATGGTATGAAATCGCCCCTAACAATCAGTAGCTGCTTTCAAGTCTAACTTGTTATAATGTGACACTTACTATCTGTTTTGCTCTTTGGGGGCCGTCCACGTTTTCTCTTTACTGGTGGCTCCACGGGTGCAGGGATGGGGACCACTGGTGGGGCCTGTTCAACCTCAATCTCACTTAAAAGGTCCTCTTCCTCCTCTGCCTCATCCACTTCATGAATAAGAACATCACGCATTAACATCTTGACACTCGCAGAATAATCAGTATAATGTACAGGAGTCAAACACAATAACTTGGGCATACAGGATACATACACAAGATATATAACCCTCAAGTTACATTGTTTTAAAAGTTTTCATTTTTTATTTTAAAATACAGTCTTCAGTCGTCATAACTATTGTGTGATTAGAGCTGTGATTATTTACTACAACACCCTTAAATTTCAAGTAGTTATGAGAACTAAATGAAATTCAGCAATTTGAGCAACTTTGTTGCAGTGTTGCCTTCAATGTTCGTAATATGTAACATTTAGGAGAAATTAAATGACAAATGTAAGTGATTAACTAAATACACACTGAATAAAAATAAACAAAAAACAAAAGACACATATGCCTACAATACCTGTGTCATCATCATCTTCCCCCCTTGACTGCATCTTCCTCTTCCTGCCACGTCCCTTTTTGGGTGATGGAGATCCGTTCTCTTCCACAACTTCACCCGTGCAGTTATCAGTGTGACGCAGCATAGTGTTCTATTAAAAACACATCAACATTACAACTCAGTCACAAACAGAAAACAACTGGTGGAGGTTATGTGCTAGAAGTCAAGAGCTTGATCCTACCCTACGGGTAAATGTCCTGGTGCACTTGTTGCAGACGAAGGCAGTGGGGACAAAGCTTGGGTCATGGTAGCGCTTGAAGTGCATGTCCAAAAGCTGTTTCTGTCTGAAGGTTTTATCACACTGGCTGCAGGAAAACGGCTTCTCCCCTGTGTGTGTGCGCTTGTGCATTATCATGTGGCGTTCCTAGGAGCGAACAAGTCAGAAAAACATGAGAAGCCAAG